CGGAACTGCCGGCCGACGGGCAAAAAGACGCCAGCACCGGCCATTAACCCTGGTAAGTGGACAAAATTATGCGTTTTTTGGCCTCCCCTCCCTAACATTAGCCGGCCAAAATGTACTCTGACCGGTTAATATTAGGGAGGGGGGGGCGGTCGGGTGTCAGACCTAGCGCTAGGCGTGCGAGGCTGACGTATTTTGGACAATCCACCTACCAGGGTTAAGGGGCAAAGTCGGCTTTCCCAAAAAGGCCTGTTTTCTCGTTTTTCATGCACACCCGGACACAGCCGAGCCTCAGGCGTCCAAATCGGGGGCTGTGGGGTAGACACGGCACCGGAGGCTTGGCCCGGGGGCGAAGTGAGGGGCGGCGAGGGCTATCGCGAGCACCAAGGCGACTTGCGGGAATCACTGCTGCACACCACTGGCGCCCAGTCCGACGGCCTGACGGCGACTCATGGACTTTTCACGGGGGGGGAGGCTGCCCACGTGTTGCGTATGACCTATGCGCGTGTAGCGGTTGCCGTATCGCCAGTGTTGAAGTGATTGTTGAAGTTATCTTTCGCTGGGGGCAGCCCGGCAAGGCTACTGCGAGGCCGCACAGCAGCAACACACAAATACGGCCGCCGGGGACCGATCGGCCTAGACGGCTAGCGCATGACCAGGGGAGCTGGCAGACGGTCCTCACGGACCAAGACACATAGCTGAGAGGGCACCTCCGACGCTCAGCCACCAGTAGCAGTATATCTCTCAGCTGAGCCTGGAGTTGAGGCTCGGGCCGTCACGGGAGGGGAGCACGGTTTCATCGGAACTGTCGCGCAGAAAGGAGCGGCAGCACGCGCCAGCGCGATGGCAGGGGTCGACTTGCGATCGCCTATGCGTTGAACAGAGGAGTACTGGCTCCTCTCTGCCCAGAGACTCAGAGAAGACGCGGTCAACCCGTCATGCGGCAGGTGGCTTGCTTTGGCTCGCTGCCACCGCGGTGGCTCACCAAGGACTTTTCAGCGTGCTGCGTCATCACCACGCGGCGCGCAAGCCACGCCTCACCCGGGCAAAAGGAACGACCGCGCGCCGCCGCCGCCCGCCTCGCCGCGCCGCGCCGCCCCGCGCCGCCCCGCGCCTCGCCTCGCCTCGCCTCGCCTTGCAGCAGCGCACGCGCACACGCACCCACGCGCCCGCCGCGAGAGCGAAGCAACCCTCCAAGCGAGTTCCGAACCGGGAGCCAAAAGGTCCCGGCTCGAACCGCGAACCGGTTCGACCACCGCCGCTGGCGGTTCTTGCAAAGGCATCAAAGGCAGTGCTTGATATGTCTACGCCCTTATTGATATAACGAAAGAGATCTCGCGCCGCGCGCGCTCGCACACGCCGCCCGAGAGCACTCCCACCCCCGCCGCCTCGCAAGCTCACAGGTTGATTTGAGGAGAAGCAGCTGGGGGAGGTCAAAGCGGGAGAAGGCGGCACGGCGGCGGCGGCGCGGCCCCCCCCCATCCCCACGCCTCCGGGTCGTGCGTACCGCCTCCGGGCGCGAGTGTCCCCCCAGCGTCTGCTCCGG